GAGCATTATTTTATATGCATTCAAGACCCTGTGCTTTTGAGATATCTATAACTCTAAAACAATTAATGGTATCTTTAATGTAGAGTGCCATCTTTTTCATCCACTCTCTCCTTCCTAAACAGGTTGTAACAATATAATGATTTTAACATTATAATAATGTGTCCCAAAAGGTTTCAATAGTACCATATTTCTTCCCCACATCAAGAATTTCCAATACTAATTGTTTATTGCCCAGATTCCTAGGATGAGTATGCAGGCAACTGAAAATGTTCTTCTATTCATATTATTTTCCACATCAGGTCAATGTGTTCATTACATGCTCTCCTTTGATTGTTAATTTAACACTCCTCTGGGTGCTCCAACTAAAGGCACATCTATACTATATGGTAAATCAACTGCCGCGGTTGATCTTCTGGAGTTCAGTGTGGCTGGTGTAGTAGCATAGACCTGCTAGATTGAACTCATAAGGTGCCTTCATTGGTGCCAATGCACCTGCTCCTCACAAGGAATAAGGGAAGCCGACTGAAGTGTTTACTCCTATCAGCCTCCCACTGTGTGAATGGCACAGAAATGTGATGTAAGACACAGGAACTGCAGCTAGATAATTTATGTAGCTGGAGTTGCGTATCTTACTTCAGTCTTCCCATATTGTGTAGATCAGGCTTAAGAAGTCCCTTGCTGACTTATTTGCCCACTTTTCTTAATATGGAGTCAATGATGATTGCTTGTCTTCTTGGGACAACTGAGGAATCTTTCATTGCTTCAGATCATATCCGATTGCTTGTCTTCTTGGAACAGTTGAGGAATCTTTCATTGCTTCAGATCATATCACAAAATATCCATTGAATATACATCTCCTGTAGCTTTCTGTTCCATCCTGTCATCATTCTTTTTCTCTATTTGGAATACAAATAGTTGGCTCATTAAGTATCTCATGATAATTCAGTACTTCTACCTGCATTGAAAGCCACCCGTTTCTCTTTCTTCCCTATTGGTCTCAAATTGCCCATCTTCTTTGGTTTCTACTCTCTCCATGGCAAGCCTTCCCCTTGTAGAGTCTGTGGCAGTAATTTCTGAATCTGATGGTCCAAGAAATTACTGCCACAGACTCCACAGGGGGAAGGCTTTCCGTGGAGAGAGTAGACTTGATTATTTTTTCAGAAACTACACAGTGTTGATACTTCTCTTCCAGTATGGACACCAGCTTGCATTTCATGTACCGGAAATCTTTACTGTCTCCTGGCAGAAAGGAAAACATAGAACATGCAAAGCAGAATACAGCAGTTGCTCCCTTGTCAGCCCTACCCACGACTGGCAGAGAACCATTCCTAAAACAGAAGGGGTTGGGATCCTAAGTCACTTGGGAGCTTTTGAAAATGTTATTTCTTCTCTCCTTTTTAGTACAAAAATACAGGAGAGAGGAAAAAAGTTGAAAAAGCTGAACTTCTCTGTTAGCAATAGTGCAATTTTTGGAAGTTTATTTATTAATTTTTTTCCCTGAGGCAAAAGTACATGATATTAACAACAAGTGAATCAGGACATGAATGATCCATAAAATGGGAGGAGAGAGCCACTTTAAACCCTGATTTGAATTCTGATTTTGAAAAATTATGTAGCTTAGTATCACATGAAAACTGATCTGAACCATTTCTCTTAGCAATGTCTATTAAAACCACATAATGAAATACAAGTGGGGGTAGTGCTAAAATCTTAGACAGATGGTTCACAGTTAGTGCTAACTAGCATGGTGAAATGAGGAGCTAGATTAAGCAATCAGCCCCATAATTAACCATTTGTTGCTCCGATTAGCCACGGGATAGTCTCAGTTTCCTTGTTCTGTTGAAATAACAATACATGTTCTTTTTAATTCTCTTTGGTCTTTTTGTAAACAGTTAGCTGAGCATAATTTATGCTGCTTTTAGCTTTCTAGAAATAAAAGTATATTAATACCAGTTAAAATGCATGAATTGTCTTCAAAAATTTACATAGTCAAGCCCTTTGATTTACAAGCAGAAAAGATATCTTTTTGTCATCATTCTTTTTCTCTATTTGGAATACAATGTAACCCCATTCAGAATCTCAGTGGAATAAATAACCTGATACTTAAAATCCAAACGGCATTAAATATGCAAACTGATTTAAAATAATGACTTTAAATATTTTAAAATTGATTTAAAACCAAGACTTAAAATGTTAATGGGATCAAGATCTGGATGCATAGCATTTTGCACAATAGCTGCTATTATTGACTATTATTTCTATACCACTCTACATTAGCATGGAATTTTACAAATGTAGTCCCCAGTTCCGCAGACAAGAGACCTGTGTGGGCATGTCAAGGATCCTTCCCCACTCTGGCACAATAAATGCAGAAGTGGGGGCCCACAAAAGTACCCCAAAATCTTATCTTTCCAGGTTTGGGTATAAAACTTCCCCCCAAAATCTTAAAAACCTAGATTTTGTGGATAAAATCCGCTGCCACCACCCGAGTAATGATAAGAAAAATCAGAGGAGAGATCACTTGGGAAATTTCACCCCTAAAGTAAAAACTAGGACACAAAAATTAACCAATAAACCAATACCCAGTTAATAAAAAGAAAAGAGAAAGAACTTTTAGTATCAACACAATATTCCTATTGCAAGCATAATGACTAGATGGAAAATTCACAAATTAATATAATCATGGGGAGGAATCCACTATGGGCCAAGAGCTTAGTTGCAAAAGAGAGAAAAACCCATTTTTAAATGCACAGACATCAGATTTCCATTCCCAAACCATAAAACAATAAAACCTAATGGATTTATCTAAACTTTACCATACTTACAGATAGTGAAGAAGGGTCTTTTCTTGGAGAGGGAGACATGTCTGTCCCCCTCAGTAGCTAGAGAAAAACTGCCCAGGGAGAAAGGAAGGAAAAATCAAAAATTCCTTTGTCCCAATTTGAAATTCCTACCTACATTCCTATTGGCTGACTCTACTGGGCTTAGGTAAGGGACATAGTTAACCCCTTAGTCCCCAGGCTGCTGGCTAACCCTCATGATCATGACAGAGCACAACACTGTTTTTAGCTTTGGGCCCATGCAGCAAGGGGTTAAATGCTTGAGGAAGCTGGGGGGGGGGGGGGGGGGATTTTGCCCCAACATTTGTTGGCTCCTTCTACAAACAGACTTTTATTAGTCCTGGAGTCCCAGGAATTTCAGGCTGTCAAGTGACCAGTTACGCAGTTAACTATGGTGGGCGGGGCAGGGTGGACACTGACTAGTCTCAGGCCTCCTGAACCTTAAAGGAGAAGTCCACCCTCTTATAGGGATACAGAAATTCCCATCAAAATCCTAATAGATGTAAAAACATAAAAGATTCCCATTGGAATCTCCCGGGGCTGTGCTGAGACACAATGCGCTGCCCCTCTGGCATTGGCAAGCCAGCAGCCCAATAAAAAACAATAGAGAACAAACAAAAGTAGCCCTACCTCAGTGCCAGGATCCTCCTAACCCTTCTGATCCCAAAGCAATGAGAATATCATTGGGCTTAAAACATGGGCACTGAGGCCCTGCTCCTCACAGGCACTAGGGGCCTAGCCAGCATTGACACTGATGAAGCTTCAAGAGGAGAAATTGAGGTATCAGCCTTGCCCACAGTAGAGTGGTTAGAGCACCACGAGACTCCTATTCAAATCCATTCTCCCCCTGTAGCAGTGGATAGAACTGATCTAATGAGTCCTCCAACCACTACGCAAAACATTGTAAGGCAGATCCCACCACTACCTTCCTTCTCTGGTCAGGGAGGCAGGGGCCTATCTCATACACCACAGGAAAGTCTGTCGCTGCCACACTCCAAGAGCGGGATGGTTAGTAGTGGTTGGTGACATCTTCTAGCATGAATTTAGGTCCCCTTTCCAAGAGAGGCCTGTGGTTCAGGCACACACCCCTCTCATTGGCAGCAGTGGTGGCTTGGAGTCACAGGCCCTTTTGAATCATCAGACCCCAGGGCAGTTTCCCTCTTCGCTCCACTTCCCATTGGCAGGCCTTGGGGGGCTGGGTTGTGTGGCTGCTCCTGCACCAGGTATTTTGCTGTGAGCTTTTTGTCAGGAGATGATGTGACTCACAATGGTGCCGTCGTGCGTATGTGGGGCGCAGGATCACAGAGCTTGGGTGCATTTTGCATTGGAGATAAATTACTGCATGAGCTTCTTTTTTCCAGGAACATTTGATTTTTTTAATCTCTCCAGTTTGCCAACAGCGCCACATGCTGATCAGGCAGCACCATGCCAAGCACCTCTGACTCACAGCTCCGGGCGTATCCCCAGATACCCCCTCTTGCACAGAGCTCATGCAACCATGCAGCACTTCCGGATGTTCTGCTTCGCTTCTGTGTACTCTCTGCTTCTGCCAGTTAGTCATACACACTGTTATATGCCTTGCCCCACTCCAAAGTAGGCAGTAGCATTTTAAACACATTTTAACCTATTTATCACAGCCCGAAACAATGGTTAAAAACTGCTGAAATTCCATCACTGGCCTATACTGGAGTCAGTGCCATTTTGAGGCCACTTTGGTTAAGCCATTAAAAAACCCTGTTGGATTTTTGTTTGGTGTCCTCTGGAATACCTCTCCAGTTCTTCCTTTGCTTTTCCATCGGGTCGGTGGCCAGCATTACACCAAACAGTGTGTTCTCCCTCAACTGCACTGTGCTACTTCTAAGCCTGACCTCTGCCCTTATTTTCACTGTGACTGAAATTCCTTTGTTTCCCCAGATCATTATGAAGAACCTATCAAATCAAGAACTGACCACATTTACATACAGCGAATGGCTGTCCAAGCTCAAAAATACCAAGGGAACTCTTGTGTGTGAGTTGCCGGCGGTGATCAATGAAGAGCAGATGATGGAGAATACAACATACACAGTTCAGGTTAAAACCAGTGATATTGGAGGTAGGGTCATGTTGGCTATTTCTGTTTTTCTAGAGCTACACTCATATTTTACTTACAGATACAGTCTCCTATTTCAGTGGAAATTATTCAATTTCTGAGGGCAGAGTTTAGTCCTACAGTCCTGGCACCTTGAAATTCCTGGAGGATAGGGTTGTCTTTATTACAGGAACTCAACAATACTTGGGGAAGAACAGGAAATCTGCTACAGAGCAAACTCTAGGTCTGTATTTGACTGCAACTTCTTTCCCATTAAAGAGTCAATAGGCAACAATTGCTAGACATATTGCCACTGCCATTGATTCTTTCTTGATCAGGTCCTGCTGTTATGTACACCAGGATGGTTTTGTGAATCAGAGAACCCTAGAACTGGAAGGAACCTTCAGTAGTCATCAAGTCCAATTCCCTGTACTCATAGTAGGCCAAGCACCTGAATATAAAGATCTCCTTTGACAAGGTGTTATAAGGAGAAGGGGGAAAAATTGTTCTCCTTGACCTCTGAGGATAGGACAAGGAGCAATGGGCTTCAATTGCAGCAAGGGAGGTGTAGGTTGGACATCAAGAAAAACTTACTGCCTATCAGGGTGGTGAAACACTGGAATAAATTATTTACGGGGGTTGTGGAATCTCCATCACTGGAGATATTTAAGAGCAGGTTAAACAGACACCTGTCAGGGTATGTCTACACTGCCACCCTAGTTTGAACTAGGGTGGCTAATGTAGGCATTCAAACTTGCAAATGAAGCCCGGGATTTAAATATCCGTTGCTCCTCCTGCAATGAGGAGTAGGGTGGCAATGTAGACATACCCTCAGGGATGATCTAGACAGTACTTGGTCCTGCCGTGAGAGCAGGGGACTGGACTTGATGACCTCTCGAGGTCCCTTCCAGTTCTAGTGTTCTCTGATTCTATATTTCTAAGGTGTCTTAGTGACATCTCACCATTTTGCTGCCTTAAAACATGTAGGCTGTGTCTACATTGGCACCCTTTTCCGGAAAAGGGATGCTAATGAGACCAGTCGGAATTGCAAATGCCGCGGGGGATTTAAACATCTCCCGCGGCATTTGCATGAACATGGCTGCCGCTTTTTTCCGGCTCGGGGTTTTGCCGGAGAAAAGCGCCAGTCTAGACGGGATCTTGCGGAAAATAAAGCCTTTTCCGGAAGATCCCTTATTCCTACTTTCAAGCGTCTAGACTGGCGCTTTTCTCCGGCAAAAACCCCAAGCCGGAAAAAAGCGGCAGCCATGTAAATGCAAATGCCGCGGGGGGTTGCCGGAAAAAAGCGGCAGCCATGTTCATGCAAATGCCGCGGGGGATATTTAAATCCCCCACGGCATTTGCAATTCCGACTGGTCTCATTAGCATCCCTTTTCCGAAAAAGGGTGCCAATGTAGACACAGCCGTAGAGAGACAAAGCGTGTGAGAGATATCTTTTATGAAGAGGATCTCTGTGTAGTTCAAAAGCTTGTGTCTCTCACCAACAGATGTTGGTCCAATAAAAGAGATTACCTCCCCCACCTCATCTCTCTAATAACCTGGGACCAACCTTGCTACAAAATGTTGGTAACATATAGTGAAGCACTAAAAACGAGAGTGGGGGGAATGTGTTTGTGTGCCTAACATTTTCCCCCTCCCCTAATAAATAGTATGATCACAGTCAGTGTTCCCTATAAGCTGAGCACTTGGGCAGCCACCCAGGAGAGATTCAGGTGCTGCTCCACTGATTGGAAGAGTGCCCACAGCCACCCACAGCTGGCTGCATGTATTTCTATTGGTGGTGCACATTTGCACATGCCTTGGTGCACATAAAAAAAATTACTCCACATATTGTAAGAAAAATATGAGGGAGCACTAATCACAGTGTGAACTTTTTCTGCAGTTCAGCCTTGGCTCACAACAGTAAGGGGAATGGGAAGGAGAGCAATCTGGGAGATGACAGCAGCAGTGGCAGACTCATCTCATGTTGAATGAAGGGTGATGGGCATTATGATGAAACATTTTATTTCATTATGAGCTGTGACAGCCGGTGGGAGAGAACAGATGACAATGACAATGAGTTTGTTTGGATCAGATTATACACTGGGCTGGCAGGATGCTGCGTTTTAGCCAACGTATTTGGAAAGGGTTCAAGTTGTCAACCACCACTAGTTTGCCTTGCATTTTTTGTGGTTACCACTTGTCTTTAGGACAAGCTCTTCTTTCCATGTAATAAATTCCTTGCTAGATATAATGAGCATGGTGCATCTGCCACTATCACACTGATGTAAACCAGGAGTAACTCCTCTCAACTCATTGGTGTAAAGGAGAGCAGAATCAGGCCCATTGATTTCTTATTATAAAGTTATTTTCTGCATCCATCTTCACAGCCCTGGATGGGTTTGAGTAATTTAAATAATAACACAAACTATGCTGATTAATTTAGGCAGTAGCACTTACAAGCCACCTTACTACTCACCCTTTAAAATATCCTAGTGCTGCCATTCAGGCTCAAGAAAATGCTTCAAGTAAAAGGTAAGCCTTCTACTGTGCTCTGAAAGTCATCAAAATTAGGCTGTGCTCAAGAAATTGAGATGATTCTAGCGCCCTTGTTGCAAGTGACGATCCTCAACTGTAAATGACGTGACTCCAGTCAAATCTAGGTGCTGTAGAAGTACTTCAGCTGTCAAGCATCAGCATGAAGGCAGAGAGGAAGAGAAGGCATCTCTAAAGCAGTCAGGTCCCAGGTTATATCGGACTGTCCCTTAAAACCAACATCTTGAATTGGTCCCTAAAGCCGATAGGATACCAGTCCCGGGCACGAATGCAGGAATAATAGTTTACAAGGGCCTGTTCTAAGAGCCTTAGAATTTCTGATACAGTAATACACTCACTGGATGCCTCTGGGTGCTAGCTATAAGTGACCTTTTAAGAAGATGTGGGTGTTTTTATGATGTCAGGACCCTATCTAGAGGCATCCTTTTTTGCAAATACTGGCATGTCTGTTTGGGGTTAATTACCCTAAGTCCTCTTGCGGGTACCTAAATAAGTGGTTTGGGTTTTGAAAAAGCAGGTCTCCCAGCACATCAGATGGAAACCTTGGAAAACTTCAGCTGGCCTTTCAGAGGTGCAGAATACTCCCAATTTTAGATGCAGCTACTGAAGGGTGTATTTGGGACCCAAACAATGAAGGAATTCAAAATTAAAGAAACTTTTGAAAATTTGTCTTTACGAGACTTGCCCAAGGTAATGATGGGTCTGTTTGATTCAGAAGTGCCATACTAGGCAGCGAGTATAGGCATTTTTTACTTGAGAATATTGGAGCTGATTCAGAAGTACCATACTAGGGAGCAAGTGTAGGCATTTTTTACTTGAGAATATTGGAGCGGGAGTTTTGGGAAGGGAGTCAGTAGAGAGGAAAAAAAACATGGCAAGAGCCATTACTTTTTACTGACTCGGGTTTAAACTATTTAATTCAAGATATGACAGCACTGTAGCTGGAAACAGAAGCCAGATTTCTTGTTTCTCAAATCCATTCTTTCTCCTTAGTAAACTTGATTTAGCTGGTTTCTCAAAACCATTCTTTCTCCTTAGTAAACTTGATTTAAATCATGTTTCTCTCTTTTATTGGTATCCATCAAATATGTGGCACTGCAGAAATAAAGATCCTGAACTAATAATGGCTTAGAGCAGTGGTTCCCAACCTTTTTGATAACCGGGACTGACAAACGCATTCACAAACTTTTGGGGGACTGGAATCATGTTATTTGCATATTTGTATATTCATTATGCAAATGATGAATATATAAATATGCAAATTTAAATCTACCAGGCTGTGAAAATCCCAACCCCCAGATCCCCCAGTGCCAGCCCTAACCCCTAGAGCCCTCTACTCCTCCACTACCCCCCAGCACCAGCCACTGACCCCAGAGTCCCCTGCACCCAACTCCCCCAGTGCCAGCCTTCCACCTTCAGAGCCCCCCAGTGCCAGCCCCCCATCCCAAATGCCTCAGTGCCAGCCCTCCATCCCTTAGTGCCCACCACTATCAGACCCCTGGGTACCAGTCTCCTGTTTCCAGCACCCCACTGCACCTAACTCCCCAGAGCCTCCCCCAGTGCCTGCCCCCAATATTAGCCCTGTCACCAGAGTTCCCTAATTCCAGCCCTCTCCCATAGCCCTCTCCACCCCACTGCTAGCTCAGCCTCCAGAGCCTCCCAGCACGAGCCCCCAGTGCCTGCCCTGACCCCCTCACCTAGCCCTGCATTTCTGCTTGCGTCGCGCAAGCTCTGATGGCTGAAGCTGGGGAACACTGCCCAGCACATCCCTGCCCACAGCGGCTGGGGGGAGAGGAATGTCCTGCCCCGCCTATGCCAACCAGCACCGGGTCGCGGCAGGGTCTCCGCCAAGCTAGAGCACTTCCTTGTGCAGCAGGAGGTACGCATAGAGCGGCTCCACATGCAGGGGGATGCTCTTCTGTGACCAGGAGGAGACCCTGCTCCTGCCTGCACTAGCTGGGGTAGGATACGCCTCTCCCAACAATGGCAGCGAGAGCAGGGCACCCCAACTCCAGCCCCCAGAGTCGCCGCAGCCCGGCAGCCAGAGGTCCACAGTTCAGCGGTTGGGAACAGCTGACTTAAAGAGCAGGCTTATAAAGTTTGCAGATGATCCCAAGCTGGGAGGGGTTGCAAGTGCTGCGGCGGATAGGGTCAGCATTCAAAATGATCTAGACAAACTGAAGAAATGGTCTGAGGTCAATAGGATGAAGTTTAATAAAGACGAATGCAAAGTGCTCCACTTAGGAAGGAACAATCAGTTTCACGCATGTAAAATGGGAAGTGATTGTCTAGGAAGGAGTCCTGCAGAAAGGGATATAGGGGGCTTAGTGGACCACAAACTAAGTATGAGTCAACAGTGTGACATTGTTGCAAAAAAAGCAAACATGATCCTGGGATGCATTAACAGGAGTGTTGTGAGCAAGACACGAGAAATCATTTTTCCACTCTACTCTGTGCTGATTAGGTCTCAGTTGGAGTATTGTGTCCAGTTCTGAGCACCACATTTCAAGAAAGATGTGGACAAATTGGAGAGAGTCCAGAGAAGAGTAATAAAAATGATTAAAAGTCTTTGTGACGGGGTGTACCAACCCCGCACTGGACCGGCAAGGGTTAACCGGGGCTACCTGGCTGAGAGAGCCCCGCCCCCACAGCCCTACTGGGCATGTTCCAGCTGGAGGTTGGCTATAAAAGCTGGCTGGGAGGCTCAGTCTGGGCTGGCCGTGGCTGGGAATGGAGCGCCGGAGGAAGAGC